CGGGGCAGATGGGGACGGAAGGGGGTGAAGAAGCCGTGAAGGAAGGTGGTGGGAAAGAGGTGAAGCAAGGAAGAGGGTGAAGAAGAGGTTAGGGTTAGTAATTAGCATGGCAACGATGACCATGATGATGATTTCGATTGTGATTATGACGATGCCAATGGCGACGATGATGGCGATGAAGATGACGACGATGGTGGGTCAAGGGTCTGCCATTGCGCACTCGCTCGCGGTAAGCGGTGTCACCACCATCACAAACAACGCCAGATGACGAGGAGCTTGTTCGCGGTGGACCCGCATGCTTTGGCCAGACAGTCCAGCTCCGAGAAAACCCAGCAGTGTGAGACCACCTGCAGAAATGCGAGCAGCATCAGCATCCACTCTAGTCCGAGTGGGAGAGTGACCTGTGGCCAATGAGCGTTGTCGGCGACCCGGAACAGGCTGCAGACCAAACGCCCCCCTTCCCAACCTCGCCTCTTCCCCCCTTGGTGGCTCCCCAACAGGGGGGAGCTGGCGGCAATCCTTGGTAGTCAGAGTTTTGCAATACGCGTGCGGGGCTGGATCGCGTGGGGGTGTAGGAGTGGGTTATCTATCCTTCGCGGGGCGTGTGGGGGGTCGCGCGGCCCGCTTAGCTTCGACCGGAAGAGGTGCGCTCTCGACCTGCGAATCAAAAAGTGGGGGGGAGGGGCTGGACCTCGGGCGCGGTGGGCGTGGGGAGGCCAGAGTGGGCCGTCGGGCGGGGCGGCATGGGGGGCGGGGGTCGCTGCGGGGGTGCTCATCAGACATCCTGGTGTGCACTTCCTGGGGCGGGGCCAGGGGCCCACACGCGTACATACGCCCGCATCCGACGCTGACTGGCCTTGCCTTGCGTTGCCCTCGGCTCCCCCCAGGCAGAGGGCCTTGATAGGCCAGGGTGTCTGCGAGAGCAGGCCGAAGAGGTGCGGCCCGAAGAGAACGCCCACGAGGCCCTGGAAGCGGCCGAAGATCTCCGTCACGGGGGCGAGCTCGGGAGAGGCGGCCACGAAGCCCCGGAGCAGGACGATGGCCAGCGCTTGCTCCGTGGTGCCCGGCAGGACCTGCACGAGGCTCGCCTGGTGCGTCACGAGCGCCACGACGCGCGCGCACGGGAGGAGAAAGGCCTGCAGGAGCCGCTTGGCCAGCGCCACCGCACCCAGGCTCATGATGTCCGGCAGCATGAGCGGCGGCGCCAGAACCTCCAGCACGCCAAACCCGAGGGAGGCCCGCGCGCGAGTGCCACGCAGCGGGCGCGCGCACCTCGGCGGGCGGGACTGTGGCCTCTCCGCAGCGGCGCGAGGCCCAGGGCCCGCACTGCCGCGGAAGTCCAGCAGGACCGCCAGGACGGTCCGCGAGCCGAGCGCACCGCCACCTCGACGATCTCCAGGACGGCTCCAGCTTCCAGGCGCCAGGCCGCACGGCGTGGCGGGGCAGGCCACCGCCAGCCCAGCGCAGGCCGCGACAGCGCCAGCAAGTCGGGTCGCCGGCCGCACCCAGCAGTGGATACCAACACGGCAACATCGGTGTCTCCGCCGAGGACTCCCCGTGGCACCAGCGGCGGGGGGCCGTCGGCCGCGAAACCGAGACTCGCCCTCCACGCGTCCTTCCATGGCGTCGGGTGGTTGGTATCGGACGCGCTGTGCGGAGCCTCGGCTCAGACACTGCGTCGGCCCGAATGAGACAGGCATGAGGAGCAGGCAATGATTGAAGCCGGACAGGGTACAAGTGGTGGTGTTGATGCTGATGCTGATGCTGATGCTGATGCTGATCATGCTGATGTTGATGCTAATGGTGTTGTTAACGATAATGATAATGATGATGATGATGATGATGATGATGATGATGATGATGATGATGATGATGATGATGACGATGATGACGATGATGGTGACGATGCTGATAATGCTGGTGATGTTGATACCGATGGCTACGATGACGATGCTGATGCTGATAATGATGTTGATGGTGATGGTGCGTTGATGGTGGTGGTGACGATGATGCTGATGCTGATACTGTTGTTGATGCTGCTGATGATGATGTTGATGATGATGATGATGATGATGTTTCGATGGTGATTGCGTGATGCTGATGATTGTGATGACGATGATGATGACGCTGTTGATGGTGATGCCGATGGTTACGATGACGATGGTGATGCTGATGCTGATGTTGATGATGATGATGATGATGATGATGATGATGATGATGATGATGATGATGATGATGATGGTGATGATGATGATGATGATGTGCTGATGTTGGCTGTGATGGTGCTGTGGATCATGCTGATGATGCTGATGATGATTCTGTTGATTATGATGATGGTGATGACGAAGACACCGGTGCCGATAATACATGTATGTTGAGGATGATGATGATGCTGATCTTGATGCTGATGATGGGGATGAGGATCAGGATTATGATGCTGATGATGATGAGGAGGACGATCATGATGATGCCGATCATGGTAATCATG